CTCCAGCGCCGTGAAGGAGCCGCGCTCCAGGGCGGCCGCCAGGGCCATGGAGTCGAGCGAACAACCTTGTAGGTTGACGACTTTCATCTCAAAGATCTTGGGCAACAATGGGAGGCGGAATCTATCAACCTTGAGAGCTTCGCCAAGGGTGGCATGGGGCTTCCCCAGGAACCACTCGGTCATTTCGTGGAGGCCCCAGGCTTTTGCGGCCCCAGCATACCAATGAGAAGCTTGAGAAAGGGCACGAGGCGTTCCCTTCCCGAGCTCAAGGCACCGTGCCATGGCGAATTGCGCACCAATGTGTCCGTGGTTTGCTGCTTTCTCAAACCACTTAACTGCCAGCTTCTCGTCAAACCTGACCCCACTGCCAGCGAGGTACCTGTTCCCCATCTCGAATTGAGCTTTGGGAAGGCCTTGTTCTGCCGCTTGAGTGTAATACCCAATCGCCTGTGCCTGATCGTCAATAGATTCGCTCTGGCAAGCAAGCAGGTACTGCTCTTCTGGGGATGGTCCCTCCGGTACTGGCCTGCTCAAAGGTCGCGGAAAAGACCGCAAATCGCCCTTGGCTCCGAGACCTGCATTAAGGCCGGCTTTTAGTGAAGTTCGACACGTTCTTAATATTGAGGTACCCAACTCTTGACTGAAAAAAAGAGCCCTCAAGACATCCGGCAACTTTGTTAAAAAAGACAGTCTGTAACTTTCCAGGTATCTTGTCGTGACCACCTGAAAAAGACCTCTACAAGTACTTACTAGATCATATGCAAATCAGATGGCAGCCGAGATTGGAGACCTGGACGACTGTTCTGCGTCCAAGAAAAGAGAAGGCAATATTGGGTACATCCTGAGATTTGCTTGAGTCTGCCTTAACTTGTAAGATGCTATTAGCTTGTTCTTTGCTGGTACTGGTTCTGTGTGTGACACGCTTCTCTTCTCAGCGCGGCTACTTTCTTAGAAGAACCATGAGACCGGACACAGGGGCAGATAAGGAATACACGATTTCCAAGGCGCGCTTACATCGTGACAGGCCAGCCGCCCAGAAGTACAAATACGGGTCTTCTTTCATCGGTACAGACGAGTTCCGATTCTACACCAAAACGAGCATCAAGTGACTTGAACACATTACAGAATGAATAGTTTTGCCGCATTTGCGGCAAGTTGCACCAAACAGAAGACTGACCTTCCGTTGCCGTCGGTGACTCTTGACCAGGTCGCTCAATTTGGAGTGAGTCAAGCAGCACGGCGGTAAATTCCGTAGAAACATCCAGCGGGGAGCTAGCCGAAGCTGGTGCAGCCCCAACATCTGGTCCTTCAAGGCCTTTCCCGGCCCCAGACTCCGGAAGCTCCTGTGCCGCCAACCGCTCCAGCTGTGTGCATATCTGCCGAAAGTCTGGCCGAGCCCGATGGTCTTGGTGCCAGCAGTTGCTCAGTAACACTCTGAGCTCATCGGGGCATCTTTCGGGCAGCGTCGGCCGCTCGCCCCTGTCGACGGCTTTGATCACCGCGTTCTCCGACTTGATATTGATGAATGGCACCATCCCGGTTAGGATCTCCACGCAGATCATGGCGAAGCTGTACACATCGGTTTTCTCGGAGTAGGGTTGGTCGTCGGAGATTTCGGGCGCCATCCAGCGGCAGGTGCCCGCCTTAGTCCGGTGCAGGGAAGTGGCTGTCTTTATGGTTGCCAAGCCGAAGTCGGCCACTTTGACGGTGCAGGCGCCACTGGCCTCGTCCACAACGGTCACCAGAATGTTTGCCGCCTTGAGGTCCCGGTGGATGATATCCCGGCTATGGAGGAAGACCATGGCCCGGGCGATCTGGAGCATGATGCTCTGGGCCACCTCGATCGGGAACGGCATCTCCCGGTGCTGTCCCCCAAGGCTTCTAAACCTGTCCCGAATGAGGCGCAGCAGGCTTCCTCCCCTCATCAGCTCCATGACGATGTAAAAGGGGCTCTGGTCCGTGCACGTCCCAAAGACAAGGACAACGTGCGGATGCCTAAGATCTGCATGAAGAGCGGCTTCGTCCCTAAAGGCCCGCTTCTCTTCCTCGCTGAGATCCCCCCCATACGGAAGCTCCTTGATCGCGACGGGGGTGCCTTGCCACCGCCCCTCGTAAACGACCCCAAACCCACCCTGACCGATCCGAGCTCCCTTCTCCAACTCGTCCCGCTGCAGCTCCTGCGCCGCCCGCGCAACCCTGCGCGCCTTGGACAGGTTTTGTTTCTGCTCGAGGTGCGCCTTCCACTCCGCCAGCATCTGCTTGAATCCCTCGTTCTCCTCCTCTGCCTGCAGCTCCGTCACTGTTGCCGCATCCCTCTCCGCGTCCTCCTCATCATCCATCTCCAGCCGCGCCGCATTGAATTCCTGGAAGGTCGCCCCCAGCGCCAGCTCCAGCGAGAGGGCTTGCGAGCTAGCATCAAGCTTCCGGTTGATGGCCAAAAAGGCCTCCCCATCGTTCGCTCGGTTCCGAATGCGTGCAAACCACCGCTTCCCCACGAACTGGGACAGGAGGCTCTCCCCCTCGATCAGGACCCCTTTCAAAATGGCCAGCTGAGAGACTGTTCGTAGTCGCTCAGAGGTAACCTTCTTCTGAACGAGGAAGAGCACATCGCTGACGATTCCCACGCGCCACGCAAGGTGTTGGGAGTGCCGCTTATTGATACGGACCTGATCTGCGATAGCTTGGATTATCTGCACCAGTTTCAGGCAGTCACCGACACTCACGGGCAATGCCATGTCCCTTTCCCAGTATCTTGCTACGCGCTCTGCTGAGGCCCCATTTCACCTGCGGTGTCAAAGTTGGGCCATAAGGCAAGATAAGAGAAGCCCACTTCCACTATTTCAGATGAGGCTGTGTTCTCGCTGTTGGAATTCCTTTCGTATGCCGTAAAAATACTTTGTTCTTCAAAGGCTGTCCACGAACCTGATCATGCTCCCTAACTTTTCTCGGCAACCAGACAAAGTCTCTGAGATGGGAGATTTGATGGTGAGACCCTCCCCTAATCTCAATGCTGACATACAGAAGCAGTCTTGCATCCCAAACCAACTTGAGAAGGCGCTGGCTTAAAGACCACAGCTCTAGTTGCAGACCACAATGAACCACATGACAGGAGACTGCGTGTACTGCTCCAGACTGCCATGCATGGTCTCAGAATGAGACACACAGAACGGAACACCAAAGAGGCACAAGTCTCTATACAGCCTCCTCATTTGCAAGAATGGCCAAGTGAACCATGTTTTGAAAGCAATGACAGCAGACCTGGACTTATAGAAGGGATTCCTCTGCTTGCAACCCCCAGGCTGACCACATTGGGCCCAGTGCCTTTTACCTTATTGCTTGAGCTGAATTGCCAAGGCTAGAAGCAGAAAAGCAAAGGTGCTACAATATTCTAGTTCTGCAGAAGGGGCAATTGTCTGCTCATGTAACATTGAACATCATTCTTGTCTACAAACAAGATACATATGTAGGGATTTATCTGAGGTGATAAATACCTGAAGTCTGATGTTGGCCGCTCTCAAGCATCTGTATTCACAACATGACCATAATTAGCTCCTTACACCTGCCAGACAGACACCAAAGCGACATGAGCCCTTTATATGGGCCCTCATCTCACAAGAATGGTCGGGTCCACCTTGTTTTGAAAGCAACGTTAGCGTGCTTGAGATTGTAGCAGGGATCCCTCTCCTCCAGTTGTCTGAGCTGGCCATATCAAGCACTTTTACCTTATTGCTTGGCCTCCCTTTCAACACCTTATCAACATGATCTGCATTGCTAAGATAAACACCGTAGTGCCTGATGAGGAGGCCAATGCAGTTGAGGAAAAGTGAAGTCAGTTGATGTGATTGAGGATACACTGGAATCAAATGTTTCTTCTGAAGCAAGTGTATGCCCGGCGTCTTGGAAATGACTCACCTCAAAGTGCAGCATTCAAGTGCGCATTTGACAAGCACTCTTGTCAAATCTCTCATGCAAACAGCTAGAGCCAATCTACAGATTAAGCGAAGGAGCCGATGCAATCTGGTTCTGAGCCCCTTTCTTCCCTGCTTTCTTTAATTCTTCGTGTTGCGCCAAGAACAAAATTGACGCTTGCGGCGTTCGTCCCCCTACCAGATACCTTCAATGATTTGCGCAGACCCCCAGCGACTAGGATGACTGCTTTTTGAGTTGCACCAAGAATGTCAGGCAACGATATGAAAAAACCGGCCAACCGCGGCCGTCCGATGCGACTCTTTTTGATTAAGGTTCAAAATCACTATTGGAACGGCCAAGATAATGTGCGCGCGCACTAGCGCATTCTGGCACAAGGAACCTGAGCAGAATATCAAGCGGCATCCAGGACGCGTACATATCATATCATTACGGCTGTTGCTTCCGGTCGCATCATTGACATTTGAGGTGCTGTGGCACTCACTGCTTGACATTGAGTTGGCTCGGCCAACGCTCTATTGTTGATAACGAGATTGTTATTGTTATTGTTATTGTTATTGTTATTGTTATTGTTATTGTTATTGTTATCTACTGGCGCAAAATGCCTTGCTATAGATGTTGCACGTCACCATTTTCACAATGTTGCATGCAACACCTCCTACACCCGTTCCTATGTGTGGAACTTATTAAGCAGGTCAATAACAATAACAATAAGAATATCGATATACAAAACATTGCGTCTCCGCAGTTGAACTTGCGCCAGAAAAATAGCATCATGAAAACTTGCAAAGGCTAGTAGCATGCACACGGTGCCCATGAACTATAACCATAGACTAAAACGGGCCTCACAGTTCAAGGTGTACAGTACGATGATCAAGTTGGTCGTTTGGTCTATTTAATGGAACAAGGGCTCGTTATTGTTGACTAGCACTGTTGACTACTGTATTACGCTTGATGGCAGGGTCTCGCGGAACTCTGAAACGACTTCGGCCAGACTTTGATCATTCCGCTTGACTTTTCTTTGCTCTCTGAGGCTCGAGCTGGGGGTGGCCAGTCAATGTCAGTCCGCGGCGCCAATCAAGAGCTATTTTTGACACGCGGCACAGTGTGCGCTCGAACGTACGCACAACAAGTAATTCGCGAAGGCATGTTACGTGCGAATACAAGCTTTACGGCGCCCCCGAGATTGCCGCTTCAAGTCCCAATTTCAGGCATATACGTCAAAGAATGGACCAGTATCGAAAACATGCAGACGGGCAACAACACGTCAGCATGCTCATAATTATCGTGCCCCATGATGTAACACCACAGTCCAGTAGTATGGTGGCAGACGGCCGGAGTATTCGAAGTTTTCGAAAGGGCGTTGAACTTGGCGCTAAATGCGGGCTATCGTAGGGTCGCAACCCATCTCCCTCAGAGTCCTGCTAATCTTCACAACATACTTCAAATGACCATCTTCTGACTCAACCCCTCCACTTCTTCGTCCTCGCTCGGATGGGAGGTCGCCGTCACAAAACTCGGCTGCCCCGCACCCCTGAATCGGTCTAGGAACACCCTGACCAGCGACCTGCCCTCGTAAACCGCCTCCCAGAGCATGCTGCAGTAATGCACCGACAGACTGCACAGCGATACCACGATGGACTGCACGAAGATGCGCTGGTCGATGTAGATGCGGGTCGCCCTCGAGCTCCCCACAATGTACAGTCCCGTCTGGAACACCGCCTGGGGCAGGGACTCCAGGAGCAGCTCGACCACCACCCGGGACTCGTGATAGCGCTCGAACACGACGATCCGGTCCCCGGTCGCCAGATGAAGCCCGAACCTCTCCGCCACGGACAGCAGGTCCTGGACGAGCACCCCCAAGAGGCCCAGGGGTAGCAGCAGGATCGCTGAAACCGTGGCGCGCGGAGACAGCCCGTCCGAGGTCCCCGGCTGCTCATCACTCAGAGCCGGCAGCGGCCACAGCCATCTGACCCGCAATCCCTTCCACCCGCGCACCGGACTCCCGCTCGACGACCAGGCCTTGGCCACCGCGAAAGACCCCCACACGAAGGGCGCGCAGACCGACGCCAGCACCACCCACATCGGCCACGCCCCCCAGACCTCGCTCAGCACGAGAAAGTCGGTGATGACGTCCACGACGGGCAGGACGCCCATTATAGCTCCCCACAGGTAAAGCCCAGCAAGCCTGAAGCTGCGGAAGCATGCGCAAGGATTAAGAATCCCTTCCAAACAACAAATCTCATCACGGCGGCGTGACCAGATCACCAGAGATTCAAAGTGCGGAAAGTCGGGCAGGAGGAGAGACGTCTTCGAACTCCAAAAACCATTCCAACGACTTACCCGAGTCGCCCCCCATCTGCAGTCTCGAGCCCTGCACCCCGGACTCGTCGGCGCCAGCGGGCCACCACGACGACGGTGATGGTCGCCACCAGCAAGAGGACGGCGAATGCCCCGAGGACGAGCGCCGTGACCGCCTTCGCCTCGGGATTGCCGCAGAGATTGCCCGCCTGGACCCTCGAGAACCCGACCCCGTGTACGCCCTCCCGTCGCGCCCCAGGTCGATCAGATCAACGAAGTCCGGGTCCGCCAAGGTGTAGTTACCGTGCGCGTTGCTGAGAACGCCTAAAAAAACGGTTCCATTGTACTGCGGGATGGGAATGTCCCCCGAAAGGAAGACCGATATCCGACTCAAGCACACCTTCCTGCGCGTGCTGCGATCCAGTTTGGCCCCCGTTCCCGCCAAACTCACGACGCAGCCCTCTTCGCAAGCCCCCCAGAATCGGATACTCTTGAGACGGAAATGCGGGCCCGTCAGGTTGACGATCTTGCAGGAGTCTGGCACCGACGAGAGATCCAGGTGAATGGTGGGATTGTTGTTGCTCACGGATAGCGCCAAGTAGGTAAGATTGGTGTGCTTGAAAGAAGGGGGTGGCGCGCATGGAAGGCCCAATCTCGAGATAGCGTTCAAGCGGGACATGTCGAGCATTTCGCAAGACGTGTCCGTGGAACTGAGGTTGAGGGTATTGATGGCAAGCAGACGACCGAGCTCAGAGGGGATGGGGCCGGAGAGGCCGTTGTTGGAGAGGTCAATAGACCTAAGACGGGTCAGATTGCCGAGCTCGGGGGGAATGCGGCCGGAGAGGCTGTTGTTGGAGAGGGAGAGGTTGGTGAGTTCGACCAGGCTGCCGAACTCAGAGGGGATGGGGCCTGACAAATGGTTGTTGGAGAGGTCAAGCGAACTGAGGGTCAGGCTGCCGAGCTCGGGAGGGATGTGACCGGAGAGGCGGTTGTTGATTGCGACCAGAGAGTTCAGGCTGCTTAGGCGGCCGAGCTCGAGGGGAAGCGGGCCGGAGAGACTATTTTCTGAGAGGCTGAGGATTTGGAGGTTGGCCAGTCGGCCGAGCTCCGGGGGGATGGGGCCGGAGAGGTTATTGAAGGCGAGGTGGAGGATGCTGAGTTCGATCAGGCCGCCGAGCTCGGGGGGGATGGAGCCGGAGAAGCTGTTGTTGTCGAGAAAGAGGATGGTGAGATTGGACAAGCGGCCGAGCTCGGGGGGGATTGGGCCTGACAGGTCGTTGGAGGAGAGGTCGAGGAAGAAGAGGTTGGACAGGCTGCCGAGCTCGGGGGGGATGGTGCCGGACATCCCGATACCGGGGAAGGAGAGGTCGAGAATTGTCACGTCCTCCAAGTATCCAAAATCTGAGGGGAGCGTGATACTATTCCCTCCAAATATATTGTTGCCTTCAGAACCCACCCCAACGAGGACTTCACAAGGTATCGGGCCTGTAATGTTGTTGTTTTGGAGGTCGAGGGTGTCGAGCCCTGCCAGTTGGCCAAACTCTGGGGGTAAGGGTCCGGAGAGGTTGTTGAAGGCAAGGTCGAGGGTGTCGAGCCCTGCCAGTTGGCCAAGCTCTGGGGGTATGGGTCCAGAGAGGTTGTTTGAGGAGAGGTCGAGGGTATCGAGCCCTGCCAGCTGGCCGAGCTCTGGGGGTATGGGTCCGGAGAGGTTGTTTGAGGACAGGTCGAGGGTGTCGAGCCCTGCCAGCTGGCCGAGCTCTGGGGGTATGGGTCCGGAGAGGTTGTTGGAGGAGAGGTCGAGGGTGCCGAGCCCTGCCAGTTGGCCAAGCTCTGGGGATATGGGGCCGGATAAGTTATTGAAGGCAACGCTAAGGTGCCAGAGGCGGGTCAGGCTGCCGAGCTCTAGGGGGATGGGGCCGGAGAGGGTGTTAAAGGCGAGACGGAGGTCGAAGAGGCTGGTCAGCCTGCCAAGCTCTGGGGGAATGGGGCCGGAGAGGGTGTTGTTGTTGAGGCCGAGGTCGGTGAGGCTGGTCAGCCTGCCGAGCTCCGGAGGGATGGGGCCAGAGAGGATGTTGTTGTTGAGGCCGAGGTCGAAGAGGCTGGTCAGCCTGCCGAGCTCTCGGGGGATGGGGCCGGAGAGGGTGTTGTTATTTAGACAAAGGTTCCGGAGGGTCGTCAGGCTGCCAAACCAAGGAGGAATAGAGCCGGAAAGCTTATTATGCTGCAGCTTAAGGTATTGTAGTTTTTTCAAGCCGTTGAGTTCAGACGGAATGGGGCTTGAGAGGTTGCAGGCGGAGAGAGAGAGGGAGCCGAGTCCGGCGAGTTTGCCAATTTGAGGAGGGATGGATCCGGAAAAAGGATTGGCTGACAGGTCGACGGAGGCGAGGCTGGTAAGATTGCCTATCACTGGGGGGATGGAGCCTGACAGCCTGTTGTTGGAAAGGGAAAGAGATGTGAGTTTGGTCAGGGTGCCGAACTCGGGGGGGATGTGACCGGAGAGGCGGTTGTTGTAGAGGGAGAGTCTGGTGAGATTGGACAGGCGGCCGAGCTCGGGGGGGATTGGCCCGGAGAGGTTGTTAAAGGTGAGGTGGAGTTCGGTGAGATTGATCAGCCTGCCGAGTTCGGGGGGGATGGGGCCTGAGAGGCTGGTTTGGGATATGTGGAGGAAGGTGAGTTTGGTCAGATTGCTGAGTTCTGGGGGGATGGGGCCGGAGAGGCTGGTGTAGGAGATACTGAGGGAGGTGAGGTTGGTCAGGCTGCCGAGCTCTGGGGGGATCTGACCCGATAATCGGCCGCCCCAGATCGTGATGCTCGTCTGGTTCCAGAGTGGGCCCTGGACGAGATCGTCGATCTCCTCTATGGTTGCGGACCATACTCCTCTCAAGAGCCCCAATGCACAGAGGATTCCCAATATTGGGATTGCATAGCGCAGGGTTCCAGCCAGTATGGGGGCCATGGTGATACCTAAAAGTGCGAGAAGGAAAGAGAAATTAGCCCCAGCTCAAGCGACGGGCTCCCTTTCCATGGGTCACAGATTCCACCCCAAGTCCGCACACACCGCCTTGCATATGACGACGACAAAGAACCTTACACAGGCTCGTCAGGAGCCTGTTGCCACATGCCGCTCCAAATTTAAAGGTACAATCATAAGGATGTGACAATGCAACGCTACAAAGAATCTTCAAAGAATGCAGCGGTATTCTCGGGAATGAGCACATGACCCAGAAAATGAGGTACAATATACCGCCAGGCCTAGACAGAAAATTTCACATATGGACTCACCGCGTGGATACAGATCAATGTGCCTGACGCATCCTTGTACTTGGCTTCTCGAGGCAGCAGAGAGCAGCGGTTCCCAAATATGTTCACCTTCCACTTTCCAAGGCCATCCCCCACTTAGGGCTTCCAGGAGCGCCGTGAATGTGGTGGGTTTCTTATTGAATGAGGCGAGTCCATGTTCGCTCTGAGTGGAATATCTGAGAAGGAAGGGGATCGTCCGCCCTGGCTAGTCTTGGCTATGTGCACACCAATCCTTCAACCCTTGCTTCGTTTACCGGTATTGTTTTCTTCGATTTAGGCTACCGGTAATGCTCCAGCAATTGTGGTCTGGTCCAAATTCCCAAGCATGTTGTCATCGAATCTGTCCCCACAATGACGTCATTACTAGGGGTAAATAATGACATTGACATGGCACGGGCATTGTCATCGACGGCCGATCCCGGGAGCCAATGTACAGGGTGGGCAAGTGCGTTACATTTGTTTTTTGTTTTCTATTTTACCTCGGCCATTTTGGCCTCCGGTAGAGCAGGTGGGTGCAAGCGAGCACGCCAACTTCGCCCAGGAATTTGAACCCCGGCCACCTTCTCTGCGAGGTAAGTCGCAACCCCTCTCCCTAATTTTTGCGATAACTCGATGGGGCACTAGGACTCCCAGAAATAGAGCGGGGTACCGTACTCTGGTCCCCCATTCCAGTACTAATCCACACGCCTCGCGGATAGGTTTGCGAGCGTTTGACCGCTCTCCCAGCGCGCTAGGTGGACGCGTTGGTTCTATCACTCCGAAGATCGGTCAAGTCAGTGCTATTTTCAGATCCAGCCCACTCGGCGGAGGGTCTGCCGCCGCCTCTCGCATGAGCTTCGCACATCTGTCTAGAGATGCGACCGAGACATGGCAGCCTACGGCGACCTCTTTCTTGCCCAGGCTCATGCCGCGACGTGTTGCGACCGTCCAGATGACCGCCGCCGCCGCCACCTTCGGAGTCCTGCCCTGAACGGCCAGAGCCCAAGACCGGTCCGCGCAGAGTCTCCTGCATCCTGCCGAGAGAGCCTTCGTCTCTTCAGCGTCCCGGCCTACCATGACGTGTTCGCACGCCTGAAGCAAGAGAGCGTCCGCACCGACCGGCATGCCAGAACTCTCCGTCCAGTGCCCCTCCACCCAGGCCCCCATCTTCTTGCATGCGTCCGTGAGCGAGGGCAGCGGGACACCGGTGACTCTGGAGAGCTCCTTTGACGTCACGGGTGCCCTCACGGGTGCCCCACGTATCCGACACGCACAGAACACGGCGGCCATCAGCACCCCACGCCTAGCGATACCACGCTGCTTGCGTTGCGACACTGGTTGGCAACCAGGCCATCGCGATCTCGTCGGCCGCTCGCCCACGGGCGCGGGGAGCTTCAACTGAGCGATCCGCAGACATCTGAGCCCGGGAGCTTCTTCCTGCTGGTGTTCGTCCGAACGTCCCGCTCGTCCCCCGTCGAATCCAGAAGCGCCCCGCACAAGGCCGGCAGAGGAGCACCTGCGCCCCCATCCCGCCTCTTCGCTCGGACTTCGTGTGCGAGCCGTCGTTCTGTGAAGAGCAACATCCCGTCCGATCGGGAGAACTTCGGCCGTTCTACTTCCTTAAATCTCATCATCCGACTCGTCGTCCAAGACCACCACGGCGCACGCGAGGGCGCCTGTCATCGCGCTATAGCAAGCCGTCACGAAGACGACCAGAGCATCGAACAAGACGGGCATGCTCAATAGGAGCTTAACAGTGCCGTAAATATTGTTTTCATAGCTACCGTCCGAATCTACGAGGAGCCCTCGGAGTCGACCCGAGAGCCGCTGGTCTGGCTCTCGCTAGCGCATTCCTCCTTCGGCAGGCGGCGCTGTTAACCCGCTCACCCTAAAAAAAGCCGCTGTCGAAGACCCTGTGGACATTCTTGCAGAAGCATACTTGTGACCTCAGTGCACTGCTTTTGGAGCCAGTCAGAACGTGAGCGTTGCTTCTTGCGTGTAGGGTGACTCTCTTTTTATCCCTTGAAGCAGGCAACATGGCGGAGAATAGTGCCGACAGCGTATTGCTGAGTTGGAACGCGCTGACTGGGTGGCTGACCAACGCGTAGCGACAGAGACAGAGCGTGCAGAAGCAGCCCATCGCCAAGTTGCTCAACTGCAGAGAGAAAGGTATGTGAAGCTCTTGAAACGTAAATGCATGATGGATTATCTTCACGTTCACCGAACTTCTTTTCGGTGGATGCCTGTATAACGTTATACACATCGCCATAGCACTCAAGTGTATCTTGGATTCTCACCGAAGTACCTAGACGAACAGAGTTCTAGGCACACTCGTGCTTAAAGCGTTCTGTTGTTAGCTCCCCCACACTCCGGCCCTAGTGAACTCCGCCGGCCTCCTCTCACCTCTCGCTATCAACACGCATATCCACGCTATATTACTGGCTGCATTGACGTCTCTATTCCACACTATGCGACACAGTGGGTTCGTACACGCTCGCACGTTGTGGCACGTCTCGTAGCTCCCTCCGCTCATAGTGAGCATGCCATCCTCGATGATCCTGCGCCGCCTTGGCACCCTAAAACCTCCCACGTCGGAGGGGCAAGTGCTTTACCTCCTGCTCGTCCTGAATTCTGCGACCATCACCACCGTCGCTCTATGATGGCTACTCAACCGCCGCATGACAGCCTCACACGGGCCGCCCTGGCCCTAGGTCATTCTTTTCCCCATCGCAGCCGCACCGAAGGCACAACCACAACCACTTTCCCTCCCGTGATGTCCGCACACACTCGGTCTACCTCCCGCTGCTTCTCGACCGTCACTCGTCTCCTCAGCTTCCGGACCCTCCGTGCGGTGTGGAAGCGGATGAGCGCGTACATGCTACCGGTGACCGCCGTCACTCGCCTGCCGAACTCTTCCAGGCCCAGTCCGTCTCCGGATTGGGCTCTCTCGTTGAACCAAGCCACATCCACGTCCCTGGCCATCCACCGGCTCATCAGGAACGTGCGCTTCTTGAACCCCGCTAGGTGGTAGAACTCTTTGGTCTCGAAATGTATGTCACCGCTCTGATGCTCTATGCCGTTCCAGTCTCCCCTCACGGTCACCCCCGTCAGGAAGTCCGGGCTCTTACCGGGATCCAGCCCCACCACCCGCTGCTCCGGGTGGATGGTGACCTTCCGGTCCTCCTTGGGCGGCCCCCTTTGATTCACCAGGAAGTATACGCTCGCCAACACCCCATCCATGGTGATGCGGTTCGCGAAGGTCTTGCTCCGAGGGGTCACGCGCTTGATAGCGGGAACGCGTCCAGCAGCTCCGGTGCCTTCCGCTTTTCGGCCTTTTCGTACAACTCAGCGGCGCGCGGCACGTCCTTCTCCACGCCCCTGCCGTTTTCGTAGCACCATCCCAGACTGTGCTGCGCCGGTGGGTCGCCCTGGTGGGCTGCCTTCGCAAAAAGCTCGGCGGCGCGCGCCTCGTCCTTCTCCACGCCCGTGCCCTTCTCGTAGCACACGCCCACGCAGCACTGCAGCGTCGCGTCGCCTTGGTCGGCGGCTTTCCGAGCGAACAGCTCGGCGACCCCTCGGCGACGCGCGCCTCGTCTCTCTTCTTACGCCCGTGCCCAGCTGGAAGCAGACACCAAGTGCGCCCTGCCCCCGAGCGTCGCCCTGGTCGGCAGCCTTTGCATACAGCTCGGCGGGCGCGCGCTCAACAAGAGCAACGGTATGACAGCGACCGCGCGAATAAGGGTCCATTTCGGACACGTGCCATGTCAGTCCGCGGCGCCAACCAAGAGCTATTCTGGACATGCGACACAGTGTGTGCTCGAACGTATAAACAACATGTAATCCGTGAAGGCATGCTACACACGAATACAAGCTTACGGCATCCCCGAGATCGCCGCTTCAAGTCCTAATGTGAGGCCTATACGTCAAAGAATGGACCAGTATCGAAGACATGCAGACTGGCAAGAACACGTCAGCATGATCATTATCACTGAGTCCCTATGATGTAACACCACAGTCCAGTAGTATAGTGGCAGACGGCCGGAGTGTTGGAAATTTCGAAGGGGCGTGGTCGCGCGAGTTTCAGTGAACTGATCTGGCACTAAATACGGGCTATCGTAAGGTCGCAAACCATCGACTTCTACTCGATTCTCTGAGCTATTTTGAACTGGCCACCTTCAGGCTCAACCCTTCCACTTCTTCATCCGCGCTCCGCTGGGAAGTCACCGTCACGAGAGTCGGCTGCCCCGCACTCCCGAACCGGTCCAGGAACACCCTGACCAGCGACCTGCCCTCGTACACCGCCTCCCAGAGCATGGTGCAGTAATGCACAGACAGACTGCAGAGCGACACCACGATTGACTGCACGAATATGCGCTGGTCGATGTAGATGCGGGTCGCCCTCGAGCTCCCTATGACGTAGAGTCCCGTCTGGAACACCGCCTGGGGCAGGGACTCCAGGAGCAGCTCGACCACCACCCGGGACTCGTGATAGCCCTCGAACACGACGATCTGGTCCCCGGTCCCCAGATGAAGCCCGAACCTCTCCGCCACGGATAGCAGGTCCTGGACGAGCACCCCCAAGAGGCCCAGGGGTAGCAGCAGGATTGCCAGAACCGCGGCGCGCGGGGACCACCCGTCCGAGGTCCTCGGCTGCTCATCATTCAGGGCCGGCAGCGGCCACAACCATTTCACCCGCAACCCCTTCCACCCGCGCACTGGAACCCCGGTCGAGGACCAGGCCTTGGCCACCACGAAGGACCCCCACACGAAGGGCGCGCAGACCGACGCCAGCACAACCCACATCGGCCACGCCCCCCAGACCTCGCTCAGCACCATGAAGTCGGTGACGACGTCCACGACGGGTTAAACGCCCAGTGCAGCTCCCCAGATGTAGAGTCCAGCACGTTTGAACCTGCGAACGTAAGCGCACGGATTACGAATCCCTTTCTAGCAGCAGATATGAAACGCGGCATGACGGACTCACTAGATACTCGAAGTGCTGGAAGTCGGGCGAGAGGAGAGACGCGTTCGAATTCCAGCGCCCATCCCAACGACTTACCCGAGTCGCCCCCCAACTGCAGTCTCGAGTCCTATACCCCGGACTCGACGGCGCCAGCGGGCCACCGCAACGATGGAGATGGTCGCCACCAGCGAGAGGACGGCGAATACCCCGAAGACGAGCGCCGTGACCACCTTCGCCTCGGGATTGCCGCAGAGATTGCCCGCCTGGACCCTCGAGAACCCGACCCCCGTGTACGCCCTCCCGTCGCGCCCCAGGTCGATCAGATCCACAAAGTCCGGGTCCGCCAAGGTGTAGTTCCCGTGCGCGTTGCTGAGAACGCCCAAGAATCTGCTCTCGTCATTATACAGGGGGAAGGGAATGTCCCCCGAGAGGAAGACCGATATCCGACTCAAGCACACCTGTCTGCGCGTTCTGCGACCCAATCTGGCCCCCGTGCCCGCCAAGCTCACGACGCAGCCTTCGTCGCAGGCTCCCCAGAACCGGATGCTCTCGAGATCCGGGTGCGAGCCCGTCAGGTTGACGATCTTGCAGGAGTCTGGCACCGACGAGAGATCCAGGTGTCTGGTGGGAATGTTGTTGCTCACGGATAGCGCCACGTAGGTCAGATTGTTGTGCTTGAAAGAAGGGGGTGGCGAGCAAGGGAGGCCTAGTCTCGAGACCTTCTTCAGACGAGACATGTCGAGCACTTCGCAAGATGTGTCTGTGAAACTGAGGTTGAATAAGTAGAGGTCGGTCAGGCTGCCGAGCATGGCGGGGATGGGGCCGGAAAGCTCGTTGTAGGAGAGATCGAGGACGGTGAGGCGCGACAGTCTGCCGAGCTCGGGGGGAACCAGGCCGGAGAGGGCATTATCGTGGAGTTGCAGGAACCTGAGTCTGGTCAGGCTGACAAGCTCGGGGGGGGTGGGGCCGGAGAGGCCGTTGGAGGAGAGGGAGAGGTCGACGAGTCCGGTCAAGCGGCCGAGCTCGGGGGGGGATGGGGCCGGAGAGAACATTGGAGGAAAGGTCAAGGACCGAGAGTTGGGTTAGACTGCTGAGCTCGGGGGGAATGGGGCCGGATGTGACGGTTGGACAGGGTTTACACGCTGCCTGTCTACTTCACATGTGCGGAAACCATGCGAAGCTTTTCAGCACGCCTT